CATGTTAAAACGATGCCAAATTTTATTTTTATTTTAAATTTTTTATAAAAATAATAAAATAAAATGAAATCCAATTTTCATTTAAGTCATGCAAACATTTATCACAATCTCATCATATGTGTTTGGAAAGTGACTCAAAAAAAAAAAAAACCTTAAATAAAACATAAAAAACAAGCAAAAAACTAAAAATAAAATAATGATAATAATAAAAATTAAGAAAAACAAAAAGTACTTGCTAAACTCCAATACCCCCAAACCTAGAAATGAACATTGTCCTCAATGTTTAAAACTTAGGAACAAGAAATATCATAACAACAATTGAAAGGTATAAAAGCAAATAAAAATCACGAAGTACAATAATTAAAAATACAAAAAATGAAGAAAACTTAAAAAAAAATAAAACAAATACTCAAACTAAAACAGTAAACCCTAATCACGCAGACTTATGCAAACTGAAACCCCAAAAAAAAACTTCGAAGCCCAAAGCCCACAAGTTCGAAACCCAAACCACGGTGAAACCCAACCCACAATGAATTCCGAAGCCCACACATTTTATTTTATTTTTTATTGTAATTTTTTTTATTTAAGACGAAACGTGAATTGGAAGTGCAAAGAGCGGGATTTCTGAAACGTGGGTCTTAATGTCGTCTCCTAGTAAGTCATAGGCAATAAAGTAGGAGCGACGTGTCGACACATAGAGGCACCGCAGACCCCCAAGTGGAAATTACGGGCGCCATGGAAAGTCGTGACGAATTATTTGGGGATGGGTGGAAAGCCAAAAAGCTGTGGACCTCGAGGAACACCAGAAAAATCAGAAATACGTAGAAAGCTACAGTGGCTAGGGTTATTCTATAAAAGGAAACAAGGGGAGAAAAAAAATATCACAACAATGCAAAAGAGAGAAAAGAAAAAAAAAAGAAAAAAAAAGCTGAAAAATGTCGTCTTCCTTCCCATTTTCTTATGATCCTAACCTAGCTTCGCCAACACACAGGCATGGGGGCAAGGAGCTGCACCTGAGTAGATGCCCTACTTTGCTTCCTCAAGAGGACCAGTTACCATAACTGACTCTTTACTCATTGACAACGATGTTGCTATTGGAGTTGCGAGGAGTTTGGTGACTCCTAGAGATGTGCGTCTGTTAGGGACGAGGGATGACAACCAGATGGTGAGTGATGCCATGGCATTGAGCATGCAAAGTGCGGCATCTATTGCAAGTGTGGGGCATCGCCTAATTGCGAAATCCCATGAGATGCAGGTGCTAAGAGCTCAGTTGGTTGCAGAGTGAAATTTGGTTGAAGATTGTCAGCATGTTATAAAGAGTTTAAAGAGGGAGAGGGAAAGGAAGGCGGATGAGACGCGACAATAGCTGGAAATATTGCAGCAAGAGAATGAAAAACAGTCAAAGATGGTACATTTTTACTCTTACGACATATAAAAGCAGCTAGAGGCCCTAGAGTGACCGGGTAAACGCAAACACGGAGATCACGACACAAGTTTTGCTCAAGCTAAAAGAGTGATCGTTGAGAGGAGCGGTGAGTGAAAACTCGAGAGAGGAGACCCAGAAGGCCAAACTAAAGGCTCCTATTGTGGAATCAGGAAGCGCGCATGATGATGATAATGATGTTGTTGTTGTTTTTTTATTTTTATAAATTTAAATTAATGTAGTCCCCTATTTAATCTTTTTTTTTAAATGTGAAATAAATTTTTTTTTTAATTTTAAATTTTATAAAATTTAACGATACTAAGAAAGATACTAACTGACCACACAAAAAAACAAAAAAAGAAAAAAAGAAAAAGAGACTAACTTATAAGAGCAAGAAAATAACTAAACATAAAAGCAAAAAAAAAACAGAGACTAACTTATAAGAAAACAATTAAAAAGAAAAGAAAACAAAGAAGTTCCAAATTGCAATTTTTTTACAAGAAAAAATAAATACCCAAACTTCAATTTTTAATTTCTTTTAAAAACACACAAATATACTAGCAACTCAAGAATGACCATTTAAGGGCCTCTGAAAACACAGCCAGAGGTTCCGGGAAGCTTGGATGGGTCACAATGGTCCTGCTTAAAACTCAAACTTCTTAGACATCGAAGGTGTCGCCTAAAGAACTCCTAGACACTGTATTGACGGAGGTTTCTCACTGGGGTTATCAAATGTCAGCTCATATGACACATTAAATTTTTTAAATTTTTTAAAAAGAAATAGAAACTTAAAATTATTAAAATAATAACAAACCAAGTAAAGAGAAAGGATTGGAATACTCCTCCTTGAAGCGATTAGGTTGAGCATGGATGCATTTAGAGGTCGCGACTTCTCCCACTACTCCACACTAACGTAGATGCTACCGAATTTCATTTTTGGCACAGTAATGCAGATGCTACTGAATTTCACCTCAAGCTGCCATAGGCTGACAAAACATCCCAACGAAGAACTTTAGAAGACTTGGAATCATGAACTGTAAAATGCTCCAAAAACTATACTTCCACATATTTCCAATTGCGTATGGCTCATTATCTAGTTCTTTCTGAGTACATACAGTCCAATCCGTGAAGTCAACTGGTATAGCAAGTTAGTTGGTTCACTTCCTTGGGAACGAAGAACTTTACTCAATGAATGCACCTTTTGGGTTCTTGAGGTAAAATACTCTGTTTGTAAAGTACCTAAGGAATGTCTACTTTTACCTCGAGAACTACACTATGATGTTCCCCAAGTAATTGCCGTTGTTTGTTTGGTGAAGTAAGTGAGTTGGTTCACTTACTTGGGGAATGACGAGCTTTACTCAACTAACGCACCCCTTGCGTTCCTGTGGTAAAATACTCCGTTTATTTGGTAAAGCAAATTAGATTGTCCACTTACATGGGGAACGACGAACTTTACTCAACGAATGCACCCCTTTGATTCCCTGGGTGAAATACCCCGTTTGTTTAGTTAAGTACTTGCATTCCCTGGGTAAAATACCTTGTTTGTTTGGTAAAGTACCTAAATGTACGTTTTTTTTAACTTTCGGAATGACACTATGACATTCTGCAAGTAATTGCAATAGTTTGTTTGGTAAAGTAACTTAGTTGGTCAATTTACTTGGGGAATGGCGAACTTTATTCACGAATGCACCCATTGCATTCTCGTGGTAAATTATCTAGTTTGTTTGGTAAAGTACCTAAGGAATGTCTCTTTTCACCTACGGAATGACACTATGACATTCCCCAAGTAATTGTCATTTTTTTTTTGGGTAAAGTAAGTTAGTTGGTCCACTTACTTGGGGAACGGCGAACTTTACTCAACGAACGCACTCTTTGTGTTTTCATGGTAAAAATACGCCATTTGTTTGGTAAAGTAAGTTAGTTGGTCCATTTACCCGAGGAAAGGCGAACTTTACTCCGCGAACTCACCCCTTGCGTTCTCGTGATATAATATCCCGTTTGTTTGGTAAAGTACCTAAGAAACTTCTCTTTTTACCTTCGGAACGACACTAGCATAACTGTAGCCAATGTCTGGTGACGGCCCATTCTGGTTACTATATTGATAGCTTTAACTACATGGAGGCATATTTGTTGTGAATTGAGCACAAAACTCAACTCACCCTCCCCTAATGATCTTGTTGTTGATGGACTTTGTGACACACACAATGATGGATGAATCACACACACACACTTGAGAAACCAACCAAGCACAAAGTGACACAAGTATTTAGAGGTTCAGCAAATGCCTACATCCTCTTAGTGATCCCCTTGAGAAATTCACTTCATGAAAGAATAAGTTACAACTTTGGTTTTACACAGAAAACCCCCTTAGAACTCTATTCTCTCCCCAAGCTCTCTTTTCTCTCACACCCCTTGCTCAACACTTTGATACACTTGTGAACACTCTCACAACTCTTGGTGTTTCCCCCCTTTGGTGTCTAGACTTTCAAGACTACAACTCAGCTCTAACTTGAACTGATTGCCCTCTCTTTCTTCCTCCCTTGGTGAGATAACCTCCCTTTGCACACAATAGCTCCCAGCTGCTTGACAACTTTGAGATTAACCACACAACTTCTGTCTTGCTTCCTCTTCCCTTTAATACACAAGCCTTTGGACTTAGGAGAAGGCTCCATCTTTTCCTCCCACGTTCTCCCCTTTGTTTCCAGACTTGGACCACAACTTGGGCAGAACAAAAGGCTAGGCATTGACAGCTGCAACTTCAGCCACCCTATCTAGAGCCATAGGGTAGGTACTCCTTGAAGCAAGTCAACAAACATCCTTCAATGCTCCCTCAAACCTCCCAACTGATTGCCAACCTTCATTTAACTCAGAAGTGACCCCTAGGGTCCTTGGAAATCGGTGGGAGGCGATAGCCATTGAAAATAGAGTTGGAAACTCGAGGAAAACTAAAAACAGCACCTCTGGGCGACCGGTCGCAAGCACTGGGCGACCGGTCGCTTTTACATAGAGTCTTCAGCATTTTAGATTTTTTTTCCTGCGACCGGTCGCCAGCTCCTTGCGACCGGTCGCCCGTTGATTTTTCTCCAGACTTCCAATCTGCTTCTAAACGACCGGTCGCTATTCCCTTGCGACCGGTCGCTTCCTACGACACTTGCATCCTAAATGTGAGCCATTTTTACAACAATATTCACAGCTACATTTCTACTAGAATACAAGTTTCTTTGACATTGTCGATGCTTGTGTGTTCCACCCTGACTTACTTGAGTGCCTTTTTTCCTAACGATATTTGGATCTTTCACAATATATTTGGAGGACATTGCCCAACACAACCCAATTTAAGACTCATTTCATTTTCCTTTTGCTTTAAGCCTTCACATATTCCCTTCCATCTATTAAACTCATTCGTTAACATGGTATAACCATTTACACTCTTCGATGCACAAAAGCAAACTTTGTTTGACATAGCACTTAAACTTCTGTACCTCGCCATCTCTACAACTTCTTTGCTAGTGCCTTCGCCTTCGCCCCATCACTTTGGGCACTCTTTGTCCATCTCTTCATTATGAGTGATAAAAAAGAAAGAAAATGTGTCCCAGCATCCCCAAAATTACAAAGAAAGACCAGCAAATGAAAATGGTTGAAATGTTATCAGAACTCTACCCTTCTCTGAATGCAATGAGTACAGATGAAGTAAAGATGTCTTTTCTCAGAAGCAGTCTTTTGGAGATGGTAGTACTTCCTCTATCAAGACAAACTACAGATATTCCTCAGATCAGTAGTCTTCTTCAACTAGTATATCTATCCTACAACTAGCCTCCATTCACGTCCTCACTGAACACATGGGAGGTGCTCCAAGAAGAATCCGACTGCAGAGTAGTTTCACAAGACAAGGTGAGAAAGAATCAAGCTGAGAACAGGAAAGAACCCTTTCTGACTTTCTCAGAGCAGTTAAATGAAATATGTTACAATGTAGCTTTGACATTGAGGAGGTTATTTTCTATTCTCACTCAACTGAATTTGATTTCTGTTTGCAGGTCTGGGAAGCTGCAGCTCATTGTATTGTTGTTCATACTGTTTGAAGCAGGCATGGAATGGGCAGCTGGCACCAAATGCAAGGGTTCTTTTACGTTCCTGGAAGCATCTCCTTCATGCCATAAACCAAGTCCCCCCATGGTACTATAACAGGCTTGGTTTTGTTCCACAGTCGCTATCATTATAGAAGTGGCGCTGTACAGAAGCTTCTGCTACATGGCTGCTGGAGTCTCAGTTTAATATGTTAGTATAACCAGACACTGATATAACAATTATTTCGTACATTTTTATTATCTTTCTCTTAGATTCTTGCTCTGTTCTTGAGTGAGTTTAGTCCATTTTTACTTAGTTTTGTGTTTTACTAGGTTTGAAGAGTAAAGATGGAAAAGCAAGCAAAAGGAGCAATTTTGGGATTGAAATATGATGTGCAATCATGGGAGCAGAATTTTCTGTGCAGATCAGTCAACTTGACAGAATATGCTGTATTTCCTCAGAGTGAACCAGATGTTGAGCCTTATATCGTTGGAAAGATACGGATGTTAGCTTTCTGTAGAATTTTACGGTTTGTGATTCAGACGTGTGTGGAGAGAGTAGTACCCGTTTTAGTACAAACAGTTCGGGCAGAATGTGTTCTGCGGGTTTTGCAAAATAATCCTTTTGAAGTTCAATCCTTGGAGTTTAATTTGTGTCAATTACATTTGGGAAGTGTCTACAAGGATGCAAGGTTATTTTCTAAGGCCTGATCCTATATTTAGTAGGATTTTGGATACCAACTCATCAAAGACAATTGAAGCCAAACTAGGAAAGCATAGTTACCAAGTCAAAAGAGGATTTGTTCCTTATTTAAAGAAGACTAGAAAATAGGGTTCTCGGATGCTAGAGTTTGAAGGAGAGTCAAAGAGTCGTGAAGTTCAATCCTTGGAGTTTAATTTGTGTCAATTACATTTGGGAAGTGTCTACAAGGATGCAAGGTTATTTTCTAAGGCCTGATCCTATATTTAGTAGGATTTTGGATACCAACTCATCAAAGACAATTGAAGCCAAACTAGGAAAGCATAGTTACCAAGTCAAAAGAGGATTTGTTCCTTATTTAAAGAAGACTAGAAAATAGGGTTCTCGGATGCTGGAGTTTGAAGGAGAGTCAAAGAGTCCCTGCCATCGTCAAGTTCTCGAGCATCGTCACAATCCATAAGTTCTATTTTATGTTTTCTAGTTTTTCAATTATGTTTTCTTTGAACATGAGTAACTAAATTATTCTCTAGGGCGAGGATGACGTCCGAGCATGGATAGTTATGATTTCTAATGTTATTTAATGGATTCTAAGTTTCTTTTAGATGAATGTTTAATCACTATTTCAATTGTTGCTATTTGTTTAAGTTCTTTGATTGATCACCTTAGGGCTTTGCATCTAGTAAATTCGAAGATGAATTTGAGGCAGAACTCACAATATAATTCAATTAGCTTCTTGTGATTAAGTGTGGTGAATTACATTATTGCTTGACGAAGAATAATGGATTGCTTGGTTCCTTTGTTTTCTAGAACGTAATGAATCCAACTTGTTTGGCCCCAAAGGTGCATGTTTTAAATTTATAAAACTCGCAAGCGCATGAATCGATTGTAGAATAGGCGTGTGTAAGTGTGATGTTGTACCCATATGGAGTGCGTGAAAAAGATGGAAAACTAATCCAACCCAAGTTAATTCAATTGCTAACCTAGTTGATTCAAAGTTGATTTGTTTGTTGAAAAAGAAAAGGAAATAAAGCATAGAATTAAAAATGCAAATGAACTAAAATAGGGAAAAACTAAGATTTTAGATTCCACACCATTATTCCATAAACTCTAATTAATTATCTAATAATTCCCGTGGAGTAGCAATCTAGAAATCAATCTACTGCTTTCCCAAGATATATTAATTAAGCATGCATTTTAATGAATCTTATGTAAATTCCCCTTCCCTTCATAATTACAAATTCTAAGCATCCTATGTGAAAAGTATTGTTTAACTACAAAGGATCAAAGAAACACTACTACAATAGGTGAAAAAGACGACCAGAAAAAGACGACGGCAGAACATAAAACCGTCGTTGTATTTAAAACGACGACGCTATAAAAAAAAACCGTCGTGGATAAGTGCCTTACTATTGAATATTTTTAAAACACGACGCATACAAATAAGAAAGCGTCGTTTTTTAAAAAGGATTTCTTCAGAGTTAAAATCTGACCAAAAAACAACGACAGCAGGTATGAATCCACCGACGTAGAAAATAAAGACGACAGTTCACCAAAAAACCTGCCGTGTTAACTCCTAACTAAACACGACCAACTGTTCTTAATCCGCGTCGTATAATATAATGGAATCCACGTCTGTATACTATGACGGTGCCTTCTCTGTAAACCGCCGTCTTAATTTTTATTTCTTTTTACGATTTAATTATTTTTTAATTTTGGTAGCCTACGAAAATTAAAATGAGATCCCAAGAGGTATGATAACTTACCTTTGAGATCTTTGGATCCTGATCATAATCGAACCACCAAAGTGAGAAAGACAATATTTTAAATACACAAAATCCAAAAAGAAACCAGAACTGAACTGACCACTGCAAACTTTGAGAAAGACAATGTTTTGAAAGTTAATGATGTGTGTGTTTTGGTGTCTTTGAGATACACCAAAACGCATACATCATTAACATCCAAATTATTGTCTTTGAGATGTGAGAGAGAGTGATGATGTATGTGTGTATGTGAGAGAGGAAGACGAGCCTCCAGAGAGACCAGAAGAACTTGGAACCCTAAATGAAAACTGAAACTGAAAGAAAGAGTTAAATTTATACAATAAATCTTTAAAACTTACGACGGTGCTTATAGACATACCGCCGTGTAATTTAAAAAACCACGTCGGTTATTCTTTAATGGAATCCACGTCGTATAAT